AAATACATCATTCACTTTTAGATGAAGTATGTCAGTGGAGTAATATATAACAATCTACGTATTAAATAATTACTTCTAACAAAGACCTCGTGCACATATGGCTTTTACTTCAGAGAAAGTTCGCACAGAAATAGATGATCGAAATTGGAACAGTAAATGAATAATTCTAAGTAGGACTGTATTCAAGTATGTCGCAAACTTCGAAGCAAAATGTGTCATTCAATCACACTAGCAAAGATCTCTTGATAAACGAACTTTTATAAACATGGCTCCATTCAAATACATCGCTCAATTCGAAGTGAAGTGTGCCACTTGATCACATCAGCAAAAGTCTCTTGCCAAATGAATCGCTATAAATAGGATTGTGTTCAAGTATATCGCTCAGTTCGAAGCAATAGATATCACTTGATCACATCAGCAAAGATCTCTTGATAAATGAACTGTTATAATTAGAGCTTCATTCAAGTATATCGCTCAAATCGAAGCAATGTGTGTCACTCAATCACATAAGCAAAGATCTCTTGATAAATGAACTGTTATAAGTAGATCTTCATTCAAGTACATCGCTCAAATCGAAGCAATGTGTTTGACTCGATCACATCAGTAAAGATCTCTTGATAAATGAATCATTCTAAGGAGCGTTTCATTCAAGTATATCACTCAATTCGAAGCAATGTATGTCACTCGATCACATCAACAAAGATCTCTTGACAAATGCATTGTTATAATCAAGGTTCCATTTGCTAATATCGTTCACTTCGCAGTGAAGTATCTCACTCAATCCCATAAGCAAAGATCTCTTGATAAATGAACTGTTATAATTAGAGCTTCATTCAAGTATATCGCTCAATTCGAGGCAATGTGTGTGACTCGATCACATCAATAAAGATCTCTTGATAAATGAGTCATTCTAAGGAGAGTTTCATTCAAGTATATCGCTCAATTCGAGGCAATGTGTGTCACTCGATCACATCAGCAAAGATCTATTGATAAATGAATCGTTATAATGAGTGTTGCGTTCAAATATATCACTCAATTCGAAGCTATGTATGTCACCCAATCACTTCAACAAAAGATCTATTGATAAATGAATCGTTGTAACGAGTGTTGCGTTCAAATATGTCGTTCAATTCGAAAAAAAATGTGTTACTCGATCACATCACCAAAGATCTACTGATAAATGAATTGTTATAAAGAGTGTTCCATTCTAGTATATCGCTCATGTTGAAGTGAAGTGTTTCACTCAACGATATCAGCAAAGATCTCTAAACAAATGAATCGAGTTAAACTGAAAGGTTCTATTCAAATACATAGCTGGTGTCAAATCATGGATTTGGACGAAAAAACACATCTGCTCAAAAGGTGGCAACTAAATGGTTCCTACAATCGCTGAATTCAAGTATTGGTTAGATTACAGGAATATGGTATAGCTGAAAATGCAGTGAAGAAAAATGTAGAATACGAATGGAATGAACCAATAATATGTTCACGTATCTACTGATGTATCGTTAAATGTGAACACAATATCTTTTGATGAATGATCTGAAGATATTTGCATATTTTCAAACAAACATTAGTTCAACAACATGAATGACTATAAAGAAAACATCACAGCTTCTATTTCAAATACTGATGACATAATGGATGTACAGTCAGAACAAACATTCTATTCGAATATTTCAAATAATTTGAAGTGATCATTCGATATTGATCAATAGACGAAAGTAAACGTTGTACATGACAGTATTTTACCGGAAGCTGCTGTAGTTGTTGTTATCGGGGTAGTAGCTAAATGAATATTATAAGTAGTATTGAAGTAAAAGTATTCCTTATTATACAGTATTCTCATAGTATGTTGATAAACTGATTTTTAGCCTGCTTTTAAATTTTTATATAGAAAACCCTTACCATTTTCAAACTGTAATATCGACTTGGTTTAGTATTTGTAAATGTATAGTTTGAATATATTCATCTATCAGTTCAAATGAACTGTGATATGTTTTACTGTGTGAGACTCACTTCTAAGTAGTGAATATACAGATGAACTTCTTTGTTTCCAGCTGATAATTACTCAGACATAAATTTCCATGTAAGTAAACGAAAACACATATTCGTTATTTTAGTGTTTCATTGTTGAACTTTCATACTATTATCTATTACTCTTGACTAAATCTATTGTAGTTTAAATGAATTTTCTTTCTATCACAACTGTCTCATCAGAAAGTTGCACTAGCTATGTGGTTGATGAAGTTCATTCAAAATACAATTGGTCGAAATATATCCTCTTAATAAATATACTTCTCTTATTGAGCATTTTGATTCTTTATTTTGTCAAAGTGCATCTTTCTATCATATTCTTTTCCTTCGCGACTCATAAGAATTGTCAGCTTCCGATGGAATGCAAACATATGATTTTTTACTTTTCATGAAAGGAAAAAGCCATCGAAAGGACTTTTCTAGAATAATACACTAGTTTCGAAGTTTTTAAGAAAACATTCAAAGCTTTCTAGTAGAACACAGAGTCTACTAATCAGAACTTAGCAATGGCTTTATGATGCTATCAATTATGACAGAAATTCTAAAACTAAACAAATATGTCTTGCGTTAATTGTGATAAGAAAGCCTGACATGACCAATGTAAAACTAAAATGTCCCAGCATCTGCATGAGACGATTATTCATATTATATTGGAAACGTAGAAGAAGCACTGAAATTTCTGATTGTGCTGTTGAAATCTCAGCGGTAGCAAAATCAGTGCAAACACTCGATCTAGACATGTGAAGACCTAAGAATAGTATATTGTCGATACGCGAAATGGGGTCACAGAGACTAACATTGATGAAACAGTTGAGAATGTTAGAAAAGCTGACAGAATGCAAGGTAGATTGGCATCTAAGAACAGATGGCCAATATCTGGACACGGTTTATTTCTTTCCAAACGAGCATTTTGCGCACTGGCAGACGTGTACCCCTGTTATTTTATGAAAACACAGTTAGAAATGAGTGTTCAAAGTATATACTGAGAAAATTAGACTCATCCCTCATCCACACACTGCAACATACAGCATGCATTCTTGGACCCTAGAGTGAATATTCAAAGTTAAATATTCATACAATTATCCGATTCATATTTCTTTCCGACCATGTCTAGCGTCTCCTGAACGGTAAATGAGTCATTTCATGTGTATGCCTGCAGCATGTTCTGTTCAACACTTGTTCATACGAATTTGAATCATTGTCTCCTTTGTGTCCCCATTTCGATAACTTGTTCGTTTTTGTTCGCAAGACTAAATATTAACGGATGGAGACACTTAATTTCTAAAAACGTGTTAGCCTCTCAATGAATGTGTCGATCAGTCTGTAGTGCGTTGTTTAAACTAGACATTGCTATTCATGCGAAATCGTTTCATAATTTCGATTTCGGATTCTTCTATCAAATGAAAACATTCAACCTTTCTGCATGGATGATGTTTATTGAAATTAATTAGTAGTCCCAAAGCTAAACCGCTATCAATGCGAAATGCTCGAGATGTTGAAAACTTTCTTCTCCAAGTACACATAGTGAATCTAACAGAGAGCACAGGAGAAAAACCACAGCTCGCATCTTCCACATCTCTTTTATATTCATAGCAAATAAAACATATGAACATTCTTTCTTTCTTCTAAAGTGTACGACATAATTTTAGCTCACTTTCTGTTTTTGCAATCTCTTGTCTTTCTTCGCAGGTAGAGATCTCATTTTATTACCAAAATATGACCAACACTGAGTGCTACATTCTCTCAGAAAACTGTGGAGCTGAGACTAAGTTTAACAAAGTTAGAGAGAAACACTGGTTTTTCGAAAAATTAAAAAAAAATCATCATTTTCAATATTTCACATTTCCTAACTAAAATATTTACACCAAAAAAAAATTCACTTTTCCACATGGCCTCACCTTCGAACACCATTTTTACCGGAAAGCCGTGAAAAACAATGAAAAAACATCATCTTTTCCTTTCAAACTCTTTTCACCCCAGGTGTATTATACATCCAAGAAAGCGCTGAACAACTGTACCAGTTGATGAACTCGTTTAGAAAGTGAAAAAAAGGTTGCTTTTAAGGTCGAAAGTTTGGAAAAATCACAATTAGCCGTGTTTTTCGAAGGCATCTTCTCAGAGAAACTGACCTGGAAAATCAAACGTTTTCAACTTTCCAATGCATCAACTTGTGCAGTGTTTCATGTTCTTTCTTTCGCTGTATAATACATTCCGGTTGACAAGAGTTTCAAGCGAAAAAATGATGGCTTTCTATCTTTTTCGCTGCTCCTCAGTAAAAACGGTGTTCGAAGGTGAAGACATGCTGCAAAGTTAAAATTAATTTCTTGCAAATCTTTTGCTTAGAAAATGCCAAATAAAGAAAATGAAGATTCTATTACTAATTTTTCAAACAAAGCAATATTTCCGTCTAACTTTGTTAAACCTAGTCTCAACTTCACGATTCTCTCCGAGAATATAGCACTCACTGATGGTCACATTTTCTTAAAAAACTCAGATCTCTATCTGCTAAGAAAGACAAGATATTCCAAAAATAGAAAAGCGGCTAAACTTATATCGTACACTTTATTGTCGGATCACGCACATTCTCATAGAATCTCAAAAAAAAAACTGTCGATTCATACCAACTTCTTAATCTTCTCCACCCCAACTCACATATTTTCAGTGCCAATTCTCTTCCGACGCAAAGCCTCTGAAAATAGTCGCTTCCCCTTATCATCACACTACCTGAATAGAGCGCATATACGCACGAAAGTATACTCAGCAAGCATACTCAAACATGGTCGACACAACACAACCCTACCAAACAACTAACAACAAATATGTAAACACATATACAGACGCAACAGAAAACCCTCGGTTCCCCACACTTCACCCTGCCCTCCAATGATACCAACCGATTCACAAAACACTCCCCATCAGTTTCACACACTACCTACATCTGATATCAACACAAACGAGACAACTCATTCATCGCACACCAGCGAATACATACTATCACATTGATTCGTGCTGTTACAATTTCCACTTGTACAATCTGTTGTCCCATTACAGTGCTGTCCAATCTCACATGTTTGACCTGGTGCACACGGTCCTCCACAATCAGTATCAGATTCACCTTGATTTAGAATTCCATCACTACATGATGGACCTGAAAAACAGACGATCATTCCTTAAAAAGTATTTCACCTACAACACATACTATCACATTGATTACTACTGTTACAGATTCCACTTGCACAATCTGTTGTCTCATTACAGTGCTGTCCAATCTCACATGTTTGACCTGGTGCACATGGTCCTCCACAGTCAACATCAGCTTCACCTTGATTTAGAATTCCATCAATACATGATGGACCTGAAAAACAGACGATCATTCCTTAAAAAGTATTTCACCTACAACACCTACCATCACATTGATTACTACTGTTGCAGGTTCCACTTGTACAATCT